TAGCCAGCAAGAATCTTTCCTAAAGTTTTGTACTTTGTGGTGTTTTCTTATTTTTTTCATTTAATATTTTAAAAATATTCAGTATATATGTATGTAGGTTCATGCAAAAATAATTGTGCTCACCTTCAGTAGCTGCTTCTTCTTCAAAATACAATTTTAGTTCATAATGAAATAAAAATTCTTCAAATTTTTTGAATTACACTTGAATAACAAAAATAATTTAAATGTGTAATTGCTAATTCTACTTAACTTGAATTTATTTCTAAATATTTCTGCAAACCGTTTGAAGACAATTACACCACACGCTGCCAAATGACAATATGATTAAGCTTAGTCAGCACAAAATAGCCGATTGCGTTTGATATTTTCATAGCGAAATTTATAATATTGTATTTAGCAACCAAAACAAATGTCACAAATTATTTTTAGAAAATTTTTTTCTAATTATGTGTTAATTAATAACAGAATGCAATTTCATTAAAAATAGAAGCGACGAAATTTCAACTATTTCATTATGCATTTGAGCAAGAAAAAAAATGCGTTTTTGTAGTTCAAATAGCATTCAAATTGAACCAAATTATTCAAAGCAGACAATTGTACAACAAAAATACATACATACATATTTATATAATCATAATGTACATATTATATATAAACGTATATGCATCATGGGCAAGCAATGCGAAATAAATTCCAAAGCGGCACAACTTAACGGTCCACTATATAATTAAAACCATTTTTGACAAATAGTTGCGGAGCATAACTGTGACTGCGTTGCTGATTATCAATATGAGCGCCAACGACCATTATAAAAATGCAATAAAAGTGTCAAATAAGAATTTGCTAAAGGCTTGCCGACAAGCATTAAAATTTATATATCTACATACTGCACTTTGTATGAACGAGCTATGACACTATAAAGTGAGCGTATTTCAGTTGATTTATTGAAGATGGTTAATGCAACTACATACATACTTATAGAAAACAATTGACAATGATATTGTATGTAATATTATATTCGCTGATCTTTTTATAACAGGTTGGTCCGTAAATATTGAAGGATTATATTTCAGATTTCCTAAATCTCTGCGCTTTAACTCGATAGAACTAGATGACGTTGAAGACATGTTGCACAGACTATAAAAATTTTCCTCCTCTAAGAAAACTCTAAAATTTTCAACAATACACTTTTTATTTTAAGGTGAGATTAGTTTAAACCCAAAATTGACAAATTTTCATTGGAATAAAGTACACTTTAGGGACCTTTTGGATATTCAATTTATAGAAATCGAACAGTCTCAAAGCGTTTGACTCAGCCAGCATTAACAAATAACCCTTTAATCGCGTTGTTTTCGAATTTGCATTTTTCAAGTCGGTTTTCGATGGTTTGCGGAGACTGTTAGACGTATCCACGTCAAATTTTAAATGTAGCTTCACAATGACATTATCTAAAAAGCTATGTACGCGTGTTTTGTTATTATTACAATTTTTTATGAAAAGTTTACTGCACATTTTATCGTTAAGTAGAAGTTTGCAAATTTGCGAACAATTTTAAAGCATAACTCATAAAGAGTTCGTACAGAAGAGTACGTAGCACTATTTTATTTTAAATGGCAGATATGAAGTCATAGAATCTCAATCGACTGTACAAGCTCGCTTGAAAAAGGGGATTTCCAAGAAATATTTGCCAGCAGCTGCCACTTTTATCAATATGTCAAATATAGAACTTATTTTACATCTTCAAATACATATTTAATTAAACCTTAAAGATAAATTCTTGTTCTTTTTGCTTTCAGAAAATGTAAAGTTAGGGTTTTTACGCCTTGCTACTTTTAATACCCAAAGCGGATATTCGCAGACTTCATAATATAAATTATGACCCAGGTGAAAAAAAAATTACAAAAAGAAGATCTGTAGTTCCCATATTTAATACAACATTTTTTTCGGAGAATTTATATAATTTTTATACTGTTAACTTCTATACAGCTAACTGATCCCCCTTACGAGTATATGTATGTATGTACCTACATAATTATATTATTGATCCTGCACGTGTATCATCAATAATGTGCTAAGTAGTCATGTAACCACTTGCATATAAAATATATATAGACATGTATAAGTTCTGAGCAAATAAATCATTGTACTAATTGTTTCTTTACGCTGAATATATGGTATATACAAATACACATACAAGGTGCAATTCAAAAGTTTCAGGACTTTTATTAAGAAACGAATATTATTTGTTTTTTTTTTGAAAAATGTATTGGTCGCCTTCAAAATAGTCTCCTTCCGCCTGAATAGTAGAGTTTTGCACGTTCAAGAAGGTTATCGAATGACTTTTTTAGGTCATTTGTCGGTATAGCGTTGAGGATAGCGGTCGTCGCCTTTTGGATGGCCTTAACGTCAGCATAGCGGTTTCCTTTCATGGCCAAATGTAGTTTCCTGAACAAATAAAAATCGCAGGGTGCCATATCAGGCGAATAGGGTGAATGGTTGATGATATGAATGCGATTTTTGGTCAAAAAATCTGTCTGATTCTGAGGTCCTTTTCGTGTTGTTTCAAAGTGTGCGGGACAAATCGAGCACAAACCTTTCTGAGGCTCAAATTTTCTGTCAAAATACGATAAATCGACGCTGCGGATATTGATAATTCCGATTCCATATATTTAAGCGATGATTTCGGCTCTTTTTTAATGAATTCACGCACAATTTCCGTGTTTTTTTCGTTCGCAATATCTTTTGGCCGGCCCGAACGTTCGTCGTCTTCCAGGTCCTCCCGTCCCTCTTGAAAACGTTTAAACCACTCGTGAATACGGCTACGGGATAGACAATCATCGCCATAAACTTGTTTCATCATTTGATGAGTTTTGGTAAAAGTTTTACCAAGTTTAAAACAAAACTGAATGTTGGCTCTTTGTTTGAAGCTCATTTTCCGACCAACACTACAAATGTAATGTCACATGTAGCGCGATATCTCAGCTGTTATACAAGTCAGTTGTTATATAAATTTTATACGACAACACTGAAGAATACACAATTGAGGGATAATAATTTCAGACAGATGGCGCCACTAGAAGCCGCGTTGTTTAAAAAGTCCTGGAACTTTTGAATTGTACCTTGTACATATAACTTACACACCCAGATCATCGCATACTTGCATTCGATATTATTTGTCAATAAAAATTCTATGTATACATATTTACACTGTAAACTCAATAACTCTAAGTCTTAACAACAACTAAACTACTATAAAAGTAAAAAAATATAAATATGGGAACTTGTAAATTGCAATATTTTTCACACTAATCAAAAATGAAAAATCACGCAAATATTTTTTGCTGGTTTTTATATGAAAAATGTAAAACTTAACAAAAACAAAAATAAACAAAGAATTATTATTTAAATTTATTTAATTATTTTTTTTTTAGATATCGATCTGAAATTTTGCACACCGCCTTTTCTTCCCAAAAAGCTGCTCATTTGTAGGAACTGGCGCTCTCCGACCGCTATAGCATATAGCTGCCATACAGACTACACGATTATATTCAAATTCTTGTAAGGAAAACTTTTTTATTTGACAAGATATATTCACGAAATTATATACAAAATATATAGACAAAATAAATATTATAATTATTTCGGAAAAACTTAGCTTATAGCGGCTATATAAAGTGAACGATGAAAATCAAGTTCTTGTATGACAGGATCTCTTCACGAAAATTGGCACGGTTTGAATTTCAAGGCAAAGGTACAGTCCCCGAACAAATTGTTCAGATCGGACTACTCTACCATTTACTGCTATACTAACTGACCGATCAAAATCAAGTTCTTTTTTGTGAAGGATATTCGGTGCGACCGAAGTTAACAATTTTTCTTGTTTAACTGGCGTTTTTGGTTGAGTGCTAACTTTATACATAAAATTGCTTAAATAGTTTTTTAAGTATCTCTCGTGTGACGCCCTTAACATAATATTTTCATTACTTTGATTTTAGCTGTTTAAAATTTGGAAACTTTATGTAATTTTAAAATATGATATGGTAGATGTGTTTCCAAAATTTGTATAAGTATAATATTTCTTTATCACATTCTTAGCGCAATATTTTCACAAACTCAGCGTACTATTCACTCTTTATTTACAAATTCTATTGACCTACATTTGAAATCAGATCCTTTGAAATTTTGCATACGAATTCACTTTACCGATTTGCATTTTCAAATATTTTAAACGTTGTTTTCTTTGCAAAACTGTTTACGTCACAACTTAACCGGCATTACTCACATACATACATACATACATACTTATTCATATATGGTACATATGCATGTATGTATATTCCGCATGCACGTAAATAATAACAACCATGCAGACAAGAATACTAAAAATAAAAGTGAGACAGAGGTGTTAAGAGTTTCCACTGAGCTTTATATTATATTTTGCAAGTTATTTACATAATTCTTTAGTAAGCGTATGTATGCTGCATACATACATACATAAATACATACTATATTTGTTTATGTTAATGACTTTTCATGTATCTATTGTTGTCGCCACACGGAAACAGCAGGGATTCTCCGTGAAATTGCAACTAAACCACTATAGCACAGTGAAAGAAACTTTATATTCAATAAATATTTGCATAAGCAGATAATTTATATCTATGAATGGTATCAATAATATCCATAGCTTAAGAGTAAATATATGTATTTCGAAGCCTACTTTACTCTCAAAATTTTTGTCGATATTTATACTAATAAAATTCTATACAAACAAAATCAACAAATACACTTATTTCTTTTTTTAACACTGAATAACACAGAAAAATAACTAAATTTTGACATTCGACTTTATAATTTGTCTGTGAAAAATATGTTAGCACGATATTTTCATAGTAGCTGCTCTCAGCATTTTATTGAACATCACATACGATTTTAGTTTTCAAAATATCAAAGAGATTATTGAAATTAACTATTTAAGCTGAAAAGAACTATTTACATACCCTACTTGTTGCCAACGGCCAGCCGCTTGCTCCATTGAACTTGCAAACACAATTCACTATAAACACAATACTTTGGTTATTTACTTTCAGCTCACTAATACTACTTTGATTATTTAACTAAATTTTTGGCACATATTGTACATTAAACACATAAATTATTAACTTTTCACTTCATTTGCACATTTAGCGATCGTTTGTACAATTATTGCACAACTTCTATTATTTTCATTTGACATGTCACTGCGGTTATTGTTTACATGTAACAGCTGACGAAGGGCTGCATTAGCGATACAAAATAGTGATGCGTGCGTGGGTGTGATTAGGGTAGCAACAGAACCGAATTAGTGAGTATTTGCAACTTTTGTGTAAAGATGTTGCCTGACAAACATATACACACATATGTATATATACTTTACCTTCTAGAACGGCACTGAGGGCAATTATTTATGTTGTAATGTTAATTAGATTCTCGGCGTTAACGTGTTTGGAAATTGTTCGGTTAATTTGCAAACAAGCGTGAGGTGTGAACTTCAAACTGTTTAGTATAATATTTACAGAGCAAACATAATACATAGATCGTATGTATGTATATGATTCTATAGGTACATACTTATATATGTAAACACTTAGCGCATATTTGCATAGTTTTTGTCTGGACAGAACTGTCAGTATTGTGTTCTCATACATATATCAATCAATACCGATCTGAGTAATTTATTTTTAATTAAATTGTCTGAAAATGTTATGTCTCAAGATACCGTCTCTATTGTAAAAATAAAAATAGTAAGATGAAAAGTATCCTAGATCAAAAAGTGTGTTAGAGTGTGTGGCTTTTAAGATAGCTGGTTATTATCCCATACATATTCCGGATATCATTTTTACTGAAAATAATTTCCGGGACACAAAACCTTATTATATCTCAATAATACCTCATTTTGCTAAAAACTAAAATATTTAATGAAACCACCGAAATTATAAACATGTAATATCATTCCATTGTGATCTTGAATAAATCACCCTGCAAAAACTGACGCATGTCCGGGATGAGTCCGCGATTATTCGCTAAGAACATTTGGAGCTTGGGCGAATGACTTTGAGACATAATTTTTTGGAACGTTACTTCTGTAATATCTAAAAAAACACCCTTTACATACTTAAGCATGTATGCATACAAGTACGTCACAAATAATTGGTTTGCTGGTTTTTTTGGTGAAACAAATTTCTGTTTGGCGATAATGATAGATATTGATTATTAAGAACGTTTGTGTATTGACTAATGTAATACATGTTCAGCTAAGTAATTATTCTGTAATACTTGATATTTCACCAAGCTCACATTAGGCGGTTACTACGCTGGTCGTCTGAATTTATATGCATACATATACTTACATATATGTAGCTTATGTACATACATACATTTGTAAATATATTTTTTTTTTGCTCGCGGCATTTCTTCTACGCTTTCAATGATGTAATAGGTACAAGCTTGTGTGAATTACTGCCTGCGCAAATACTCACAAATACTCGTTTGGCGTTTATTGGCTTTACGAATGACATTACATGAACTTGAACTTTAAATGAGACGCGTAAACAGTAACTGTCCGCAGCAAAGCGCCGTTGAGCAAGCATAAAGCGGCATAAATTATGTGATTTAAGTGACTGACTTTTGTTTGTGTTTTGCACTTATTTTGACTTTGTTTTTTCTAAACATGATTTAAGAATGCCGCCAGCGGACACAAGTGTTGATTTGAGGTAAGCTTATGATGTGTTTATTTTATTCTAGATTTTTGTAAATAAACAACAATACAAATTAATTAGAGCTGCCACATTTTGAAACATCAAAATAAGCAAGTATCGTCGCCAACGCTATTAAAATGACAAATCCAGCCGCACATTCATTATGCCACAAATTGCGGCAATAACGTGTACACTCGTACTCATGGTCAAAGTCACAGTCACTCATAATCAATGGAGCATGGTTAAACAAGTGCCGACATAATAGAAATTTATGTATGCATATATGCACATACATATGTTTTATGGCATGATTGCAGCTTCACAATGTAGCCTCAACGATGCCACTCAACGTGGGTGTTTGTGATGCAACAAGCAATTGTGTGGCAAGTGAAATGGAACAAAAGCAATTAGAAAATAAAAAAATAAAAAATTAAAAAGTTATACAAAGCTATTATTTAACTTCTGATGTAATGCGCTCTGTGGCTGGTGCCACTTTTTTTTACCAATTAGCAAATAACAACAAAGTTTTGTGTTGATTCGCTAAAGCGATATAGTATGTCGATCTAGGTAAAAACATACATACATATTTATTTGTATTTATAGATGCCATATACTTTCGCTTTTGACAGCCAGAGTCAATAATCAAAAAAATTAGATGCTCAAACTACAATATTTATAAATACACATACATACCCACAATCATACATATGGACATAAGCATGTACTCATACATATGTATATAATGAACGAAAGTGAGGGTGATATCATCTTCGTCATGACATTGCACTTGAATTTTATGACTCGCTTGCAATTCGCTGATGGATTGACTGCCATTAAGCCTCAGACAAATGATGATGAATTGTGTTAGTTTTCAAATTGCATTTAATTGATTGCACACGAGATTTAGCGTTGTTAGATTAGTGATTGAGTGTAATTGAAAGCATATTCAATCAGGTTGTAAGTTTGCCGGACGATAGATTGCCTGTAATTACTTGTTTTTAAACAAACTAGATTGCAATGATAGGGGGAAAAAAATGCTACAAAAGTTTGAAAAAAATTTTAACTAACGATATCACCTATTTTCGATATAGATCCGGGTTTTCCATTGCAAAAAAAAAAATAGTGGAGGTAACGTCACTTTGAGATAACTCGAGAAAGATTCGATGAAATGACGTGCCATTTTGACAGTTCTGCTTTCTGACTTTAAGGCAAGGAGAGAGATTCTTTATTTGTGTTGCGATATCGTGATCAGACCAAAGACTAGTATTACCGGACTTATGTATGTAGCTTAAGTATTTGAAATTATGGTTATGCTTTTATTCACTCTCTCATCTGCTCTCATCACTGCTATGCTCTTCAATCCTCGAGAAAATTCGCGTGAGAAATTCTCTACTCTGCTGGATACAATTAATAAAGTAGCTTATTTAGTGATGTCAGAAACGAATTGATAAAATAATATTTAAAATATATCATGTATTCATAGTCGCACTATAACTTATGATTGTATTATAATTATTTTTATATTTTTAATATATGTATGTAGTCTCTTTCAGTTTACATGCGTTCTTTTTTCTCTCAAAATGGGTGGGATCATCACATTAATATACATATGTAGACACATATATAGAAACATATTTTTTCACAAAATTTAGTATATACTTATATGTATGTATGCAATTACGCTTGCGGTCATAAAAATCATAACACTACTGGTTTCAATCGCTTTCATTGCATTTCATTAACACTCAGCGGTCATCAGATTTGTGTGTGGAAGCATCCAAATGATGTGTTGCAAATTAAAAAATAGCAGCAGATAAAAATTATTGCAAATCATATTGTAAATCTAAATGAAGCACAAACATTTTGTTGCGATATGCTCGTTTAAAATGGCAATGGTCACACCCAACCTTGGCGCAATTAAATGCAATGCCCCAAAGGGTAATTTGTACGAGTATATCTTGAAAACTGTTTATTATTTCTATTATACCATAATTAATAATGTTTATTGTGAATTATACAAGGATATTCATAACATAAATTATTAGTGTTAATGTTTTTACATGAGTGGGATGCGACCACTATTGAAAATATTATGGATTATCAGGCCCAAAAATTAAATTGTATTCAATTTGATAAATAATTTTAATTATTTTTTGATATTTCTATTACATTTTATGGCGTTTTCGGAATGTTATTTGTATTTAAATGTCTGTTGGAGTTATATAAAATTATAGGAATATAAAGCACTATATTCATATTTTTATCTGCAAACAATTTTGAGTTTCTATATACTCGTAGTTTACACTTTTTCCACTTACCGAAAAAACATTTTCAAATAAGTATATAAAGCTATATAATATCAGCTCTTTAAATTAAGAAAACACTCTTAGTTACCCTTGCCTCATATTACCTAGTTTCCTTATAATGCCGTGTGAGTGCGTAGATACAGGGTCGTGATTTAAGATGGAAAACTGTTAGTATGCTCTTGTATATCAATCTAAGTACAGCATGAAGTCAGAAGTTTTCTACCAATTGCAAGTGCTTTACAAACCATCGTTTTACGAATTTATATTGAGTTAGCAATTAAAGGTAAATTACGACTCCACAATTAAACAACACTTTACTTGTATAAGACCCTCATAATTCATGCTGAGAAATTTCACATATATAATCAAATTTGACTCGGACTCGAGTCTACTTTATCAATAAAATATAAATATTTTAGTGGCACTAAACATTAAGTGAAGGTCGTGAAGTCATCTAAATTTGCCTCAAGCGAGTCATCTATTCACCTCTGTTAATGACATAACATAGTTGACATAAGAGAGATAGTACTGTTCTATCATCCAAATCTCAAATGGATCAAATCAACAAAATGTGTTAATGTTTTGGGTATAAGCTTGTGAATGCTTAACTCGTCCCAAATACGTGAATTTACTGGTGAAGAGACGTTAGTTTATGAATATGAGTCAAACTGTCCTGTAGATTGTTACTAGCGAATGCTTCTAAACATAAGCCGAAACCGAAAAACTTCAAAGTCGGTCAAAATCAAAGTGATGCTCATCGTTTTCTTTGATTACCGTATTACCTTGTGAATTCACCATGCATTCGCTTCACAGGATCAAACAGTCAGTATGGAATACTACTTGGATATTTTAGGCGTCTACGTGATTTTTGTAACGACTGAAATGTAAACAATGAAAATGGTTCAATTCGGTTCAGGATAAAATCACCAATAAGCATTTTTATGTTAAATAACACACGACGTGCTTCAAACCGCAACCCTATGATAAGCTGCAACAAATTTGCTTCAACGCAAGACCATGAGGTGTATTATTCACTGTAATTTCAATAATCGCATCTGTGTTCTCAGAGGGTTGCATACTTTATAGGGATTATTTTGTAAATATTTTTAAATAGTTTGACAAAAATGATTATTCAAGTGAGTGAATATATTGCAAATATAAAATAAAAGGAAAACATACAGCAAATTTGACGAGAGACATACAAAGAAAGCCGCGACTTTCAGAAAGATCGTTGGCGAAATTTCGAAGACGAAATTCAGAAGCAATCATGTTTTAGCACATGTAAGAGATATTGGTATGAAAATACGATTCCATATTGCTGGCAAATACTTCTGTTTATACTAAAAAATGTCCAAAGAATTTAGATTTATTATTCAAAGAAATCGGGAATAATTACAATCAAATTTGTATCTTCTTGACTTATATTGTAGATCACTAACTTACAATTAATTTTATTGCTATATTTAGTTCGCTTAGTTCACCAAATTAT